ATCCGTAACTCTCAGGAGCAACTAGAAGCATTACTCGGTGGTGCAGTTGCTATTGACGGTATTCCAGAAAGCCCACTCCAAGATGCCCTAACAGACCTTTGGAAAGAAGCTACTGGTAGATCAGAAATTATTAACCGTGCTGTTATCCTTGATACAGACAACAACCTAGTTTGGACATACTACTCAAACACTCAGACTTGGTACCCAGCACCAGCAGGTGGTGAAATTACAATTCAACCATTCACAAATGAAGCAGCTGGTTCTATCCAAGGTTCTACTGCAGACGGTGCTGTCTCAGCAGACAATGGTAGGGGTTATGTCAACGGTTGGACAGAGCTAAAGAACGATGTATCAGAAGCAAAGACTGACTTAGGTTCACTCACTACAACAGTAGATGACTTAGGTGACGATTTAGCTGAACTCAGCGAAGATGTTATGAATATCGATGGCATGGTTGCAGAGATTAGTGCTGACGTTACTATGGCTAAGAATGACATCTCAACTTTACAAGGTACCACATCAAGCCTACAATCATCTGTAGCAACTAACACAAGTAACATCTCAAGCCTACGTAGCGATGTAAACACAGCAAAGACTAACATCACTTCATTACAAAGTGATATGTCTACTGCTAAGACAGACATCTCTGGATTAAAAACTACAACTACAAATCTATCTAACAATAAGGTAGATAAGGTATCTGGCAAGCAACTCTCTACAAACGACTATACGACAACTGAAAAGAACAAGCTCGCAAGTATCGCATCTGGTGCACAGACAAACGTACAATCAGACTGGAACGTAACAGATACAGGTTCAGATGCTTTCATTAAGAATAAGCCAACTATCCCAACAGTAAACAACGCAACACTTACCATCCAAAAGAATGGTACAAACGTAGCAACATTCACAGCTAACTCAGCATCAAACGCTACTGCAAACATTACTGTACCAGTAATCACACTACAGACGACTGACCCAGGTGAAGGCTCAACTCTAGCAGCTAATAACTTTATCGCAGTTTACCAATAGGAGAATCTAAATGGCAAATAGCAATTTTAACTGTACATTAGTCGTAACGGTAAGTGGCAGCTCAATCTCTGCCTATATGCAATACAAGCATAAGACAGGAACATTCACGTATTCAGATACGAAGTTACCAACACCAACAATGACTATCGCTGGTACGAATTACTCTGACACTGCTTTTGCTAACAAGGTCCATAGTGGAGTTTCAGTGGGAACATTGAACTCCACTACCTATACCAAATCTAATTTGGCTAATGGTACATATCAAGTGAAGTGGACTTGTGGTTCTGGACTTCGTTCAGACTTCTCTGGTACATGGACAAAGTCGGTAACCGTTAATGTCGGAACTGGTCCTAGTGGCTTTGTATATAGTCTTGATGGAGTAACATCAAACTCTATTACAGTAAAGACGGAAGTTGGAAGCTTCGGTAATGGTACATTCAATTATCTTGAATACAAAGCATTCACTACAGATTCAACTACATATTGGGGTACATCTCTTGCAAGATGGAAACAGATTACTCAAAAGGTAACACCAAACTCATACACTCTCACTAACGCAGACAATGAGCATACCTCTGGTCCGTTAGACATTAGGGGTTGTGTAGCGTTCAAGATTGGTGCAGGTGTGTTTACATCTAATGGTAGTATCTACTCAATAGATAACGACAATATCTATTACACACCACCAACAGCTCTTACAGAGTTGACGAATACTGGCTATGTGAAAGGCACCACATCTGGAACTGTTGATTACACGATTACGATGACTGGTGGCACATCTGGTGCTGCACCAGCTCTTAACCTTGCTAACCAAGTCACAAACTACTATCGTTATTCAAGTGATGGTGGTGTAACCTATACAGATTGGATCTCGGCTGGCACTGGTCTAACTAGCGAACAAAAGACATTCCATGTTATTGTACCTGGCAACAAGTCTTGTGCCGTGCAAGCCAAGCAGACATACGGAGATGCAGACTCAGATATTAAAACTATCTCGTTCGCATCGCCAAAGTTGGCTACACTATACGGCTCTGTAAATGGCAAGACTAAAGCAGTAAGAAAGCTATACTGTTCTGTTGACGGAAAAGCTCGTAGAGTTACAAAACTATACGGCTCAGTAAACGGAAAAACCAAGCTAATCTACAGCGAGTAAACATAAATACCACCTTGTCTATAAGGTGGTATTTTTCTTGTCTAATAGTATTTTGTGCCATAATTAAGGTATGAATAGTTGTAATTGTAATAATTTTAATGAATACGGAGCTAGCGTAAGAGCAGGCATCCGTAATATTGCTCCATCTTGTAAAGATAAAGCAGTTATCCCTAGTGTTACCGTAGAGCAACCAGAGGGAATGAAAGGTCTTGCTGACTGCTTCGTTCATGTAAACAGCAACAATACCACATATTATATCGATGACAAACATCGTATCACAATTGTCTGGGCTGGACCAGTAGAAGCTGATGGTTATGACTATGCTACTAACCCACTAAAGCTTCGTTCTCAAGCAGTCTATGACTTCTCAAATAATCGTATGATTTACTTTAACGCAATAGGTGAATATCGTATCGTCACTCTAATCGCAGAAGGAGAATAATATGACTTGTCCTTGTGAGAAAAAAGACCCACAGATGAACAAATGTGGTGCTAATACTCCACCAGTATTGAAGATTGATGCTAAGGATTGTCCAGTATTATTCCATACTGTAAATATCCCTGCAACATCTAAGGAACAACCTGCAAAGCCAGGCGATTACCGTAATGCTCGTGTAACATACACGGACGGAATCTCATACCTATATGATTCAGATGGAATTCCACAACTTCTATCTAATGGTGGTGGAGCTGGTGCAGTTGAATCCGTAAATGGAAAGACTGGTGCAGTCGTATTAAACGCTGATGACGTAGATGCAGCTTCAAAAGAAGAAGCTAATCGCCTTCAATCAGAGATTGATGCCATCGTAGTATCGTCAGACGTTAAAGATGTAGTCGGTACTAAGGCTGAGCTTGATGCCTATGACACATCAACATTAGGTGAGAATGACATCATCAAGGTTCTTAAAGATGAATCTGAAGGTGATGCTACAACATACTACCGTTGGGATGCTAATGAATTCACTCTAATCGGTGAAGAAGGTCCTTACTATACAAAGTCAGAAGCTAATACTTTATTAGCTGGCAAACAGAATACCTTAGCACAAGGTACGAACATCACAATTGATGGTAACACCATCTCTGCAGCTGGTAGTGCTAATATCGTAAAACTTACTCTTACTGCTCGTAAGCTATATCTTGATGGTGTAGAACAACATTATACAGACATTGAACGCTTAGTTGAGACTGAAGGTAATTATGTAGTTGTTTACGGTGATGATGATGTAGTAATGAAAGTATCTGCTGTAACAAGCGATGCAGTTGAATTTGCAACATCATATATCTCAGGTGGTGAAGCATTTGTACAGCGTGTTATTATCAATGCTGAAGATGAAATCAAAGAAGATTGTCTTAATGTAAGCGACTCTGGAAGTGCATCAGTATTGTATGACGGTTTTGGTACTGCTACTGATGGTGCTATGACACAGAATGCTATTACTACTGCATTATTCCCAAGGAGCACTACAGGTGTTAACAAGGATTATATACTAATCGGTGATGCTTATGTCCCTACATATAGTGGTCAATCTAGAAAGATTGCTATCGGCAACAATCAAGATACTAAAGTTACTGGACAATATGGTCTAGCAATTGGTAAGGCAGCATCAACTGCTGGTAATGCGTTGGCGATTAGCAGCCCAACAAGTTCATCTGGAGCTGAAGCTGGTTACGATTCAGCTATTGCTATTGGTACATCTGCTAAGGCTAACGGTCTGAAGTCTATCTCATTAGGTAACTATAACATTGGATATACGGCTCATGGTTCTGTTGGAATTGGTGGAACTACAGCTTATGCTTCTGAGATAAATTCACTCAACTGTGTAGGCATTGGTGCATCTTCTACTATTCCATCTGGTGCCAACTCAAGCGTTGCATTAGGTGCGTTCTCTAAACCAAGAGCACAAGGTGTGGTAGATGTATCAATCTCAAACGCTACTGCAACATACCAGAATAGTGGTTTCAATAATACCAATTTACGTCTTATCTCTGGTGTACATGACCCAGAACTAGACCAAGACGCTGCAACTAAGGCTTATGTAGATGCTGCTATTGCAGCTCTCAGAACGGAGTTGGGTCTATAATATGGAAGGTATAACACTCGGTGATATTTATACAACCTTAGCATTTATCTTAGGTTTTGTAACTACAATCACTGGTATCTGTGTGTTCTTCTCTAAGCAACTTAGCAAGGCTCTAGATAAAGCTCTGGAGCCTACTAACAAGAAGCTTGATGATTTATCTAAGAGTATCCTTCAGGTAGACATCGACAACACCAAGAATTATATTCAACAGACATTCACGGCTATTGAAAACGGTGGGAAGCTAGAGGGCGTAGCAAGAGAAAGATTCTTTGAAAACTACGACCACTACACTAACGACCTCCACTTGAACTCTTGGGTACATAAGGAGAAGGACCGTTTAGAAAAAGAAGGCAAACTCTAAAAAAGAAAAACCCCTGCTGATATAGGCAGGGATTTTTCATGATTTGGATTTTTGACTATGGCTATTGCGGATTTCTTATTATTACATAAGTTTTTTACCTAAAACAGCATTTACAAATTCATAAGGGTCGGTATTACTACTCCGTGGAGTGGAACGAATACCAGCAAAGTGTTTCATCACAAATACAGTGTTGTTACAAAAGATGATAAAAAGAAAGGTCTTTTTGTCACAACGAAAACATTAGTTTATTACAGATTATAACTTAAAAAGTGTGTAGCCATAGTGCCTAAAATTGTACTATTAACAATGGTTGCCCACGCTAATCTACTTCTATTTTATCACAAATGCACGAAAAATGAACTATAATTAAATCATGAAATATGGTTATAATGTTGACGATGCTGTCAACACTCCTATAAAACGAAGGAGAAAACGTGAAGTATAAAGTTAATGAGTTCGCTCAAAAGTTCCGCAATATTGTTGGGGATAGTACGCTCGATGTGCCAGATGAGTTTATCATCAATGCACTCAACTGGGCATTCTCAGAGCTACCACTCAACCCTAAGGCTGATAAGGTATTCTCTAAGAACCGCAGAGTCCAGCTAAAGCCAGGACACTATCGCTGGAACCTAGTTGATAAGAAGGAATTTCGTAGGTTAACGAACATTCCATCATTCAACCTATGGACATCCACAGGTGGCGATTTATGTCCATTAAAGGTATGTGCTGTATCACCAGAAGAATTGTACGCAAAGGGCATCCCTGAACTTATGAAGCCAGGAAAGCCTTGCTACTACGCTATTGAGCAAGAAGATGATGATATTTATTTAGTATTCGACAGACCAATCGATGTGCCTGTCATTATCCAATATGTTGGATACGGTTTCCCTAAGCTAGTAAAGTCTATGGATGACGAGATTCGTATTTCAGCAGTTGTAGAAAATGCACTCCTCGAAATTATGCGTGTTGTATGGTATCGTGAAGCAGATGATTTATCATTTGCTGGTTCTGCATACGACTACTTAGACAACAAGTATATTCCACAGATTATCCAGATGATTAACAAACAATGGGCTGGAGCTGAAGGACCAATTATTTTAGGAGTATAAGATGGCAGTTCGCAAGCAGAATAATCCACATACATTTGATAGGGTGCCAGGCTACTATGCGAATAATAAGCTCTACAAAGATGCTTATACTCGTACTGACTGGCAGTCTAGAACTTCTCGCCGCATCCATGACGGCTTTAATTTACAAGTGAATTATGGTCTCGACACAACATCAGATGATGTAAACTCGTCACCATATTCATCACCTTATTATATAAACGGGAGATACAATTCCGACAACCTCGTTACTCAACGTGCGAACTCAGCATCCGTTCAGGGTATTAAGTTCTTGTTGTCAAAACATGATGAAACAGTTGATTTTACCGAGAGCGACATTCAAACATACCTCCAACTCTGGCAAGGCAAGCAAGTCAAGTTTAAGATTCCGTATGCTGGCAAGTTGGTTGGAAACACTATTACTATTCGTAATACTGATGGCTGTACTGGTATTCTCAGTATTTATATATCTGCTTCCGACAACGGTCGTACTTTAATGGAAACAGCTGTAGACCTATGTAAGGTATCTACTGATAAGTTTGAACATATTGAGCTACGTGGCATCACTCCAGTATCAGTTGATGCTAACCCACGTGGAGAGCTATTCGTCCGTATGGAAATATGGGATGAAGTATCAAAGGAAAGAAGTGCTAACCCATTCAATACTGGAAAGAAGATTGATATAGCAGCAACTGGTATAGATAACCATTATGAATGTGTATATCAACTTCGTGACAAGAACGTACCAGTTGTAAAAGAAGATTATGACTATGTTCGTAAGCCTTCTCGTCCGTTACTTGGTCTTATATATAATAACTGGACAATGATTCCAGTAGACCGTATTAGTAACGAGAAAACTGGAGCTACTGTGTCAGATGCAGGGTATCGCTATGACATCATGTGTGCAAAAAGCCCAACTCAAACTGAGATGCTTATTTACGATAAAGAAATGAACCGCTTTGTTGAGAATACTTCGATTCGTGTAGATGGTCGTGCAAAGGCAATTCAGATTGCTCAAGTAGTTGCTCCATCAGATGAAAAGCTCAACTATGTTTATTACGTTGACGGTTTCTCACCGCTACAGCGATTCAAGATCGGCGAGTGGGCGAGCGAGGAGGTTGTTGATAGTGAAGCTGGTCCTGTACTTGGTCCGAGCTTTATCATCCATCACAACAACCGTCTATACATCGGTGGATTCTTAAATGATAAGAACTTGTGGCAGTGCTCAGCTATTTCATCTGCTGGACCAGAATATACAAAGTTCCCATACAGATTCTACACACCTAATAACTCACCATATGCAACGACAACAAATAACCCTACTGCAGTAGTAGAGTATACATCAGACCAATTGATGTTCTTAGGTAATAACTTCGCATCATTATTCACAACTAATGTTGCACTAGAAGATGGCACTGGAAGTGCTGGTACACCAGTACAAACATCCATCTATTCAGATGCTATCGGAGTACGCAGTCAAGGTGATGTTGTAAACTATAAAGGCTCTATCTATTCGTTTGACGAGAGAGAAGGTCTACGTCAATACAACGGTGCTAAATGGATGAAACTATCTGGCACGACAATTGATAGCTACTTTGATAGAGTTGATATGACAAAGCCACGTAAGCTATGGGGTTCAAATAATAAACTCTTCTTTAACTACACAGATAAGGTAGACGGTAGAGCTAAGTGTATCATTCGTGACTTTAATATGAACTACCAGCAAATGCCTTGGTTCCAAGATGTAGACATCCCATTTAATGATGTACGCTTTGATGAGACAGAAGTAGTAATCGGTACACATCCAGACTATCCTTGCGTAATGCAACTATATGCAGAAAATACTTGGAGTAGATTCGATTCACCAATTACATTTGAAAGACATACGAAATATCTTTCAATGCCTGGCAACGCATCAGACATTATCGTAAAGCGTGTACACAACAAGGTAATCGCAAACTCAAACAGATGGTGGTGGCTTGGTCTATCTTACGATAAGAACGAGCTAGAACAACATCGTGGTTCAGAACCTTGGTATCGTATACCAGCTTGGGATACTATCACAGATAGCGAGCCACAGGAATATCCATTCCCAGAAGAAGATGTTTATGAGAAGAACTCTATATCAAGATTAACTATTTCTAATATCAAGATTAGATGTACTGCAATTCAAGAACGTATTAAGTGTAAAACTTTCCGTAATCAGGCAAATCTCGTATCGGTCGAATTCGAGGTATATCCTAGGATGTTTAACTAATCTACCCATTTCCAGTGGTACCCACCTGCGGTACCACTTTTTGGGTATCTATTATTTTCTGCACAAGCACGTATATTTCTTGCTAAGGTGCTGTCATTCTTTGCCGCTATTACAGAACTTGGGAATATCTCACCAGTCTCAACACATTGTATAGGCTTAGCAAATACTATGCCATGATGATTTTTGAGTGTATACAATGAGTGAATTGCATTCTCCGATTTAGTGCACCACTCTAAGTTCTCTATAGTATTGTCGCATTTATTACCATTTTTATGATTAACGTAAGTCTTTTGCGAGTTCTCATCAAGAAAAGTATTAGCAACAAGCCTATGTACAGTGTGTACCTTTTGCCTAGAGTCTTTAGTGAGATTTACTATAAGATAACCATTCTTACATAATGATTGTCTCAATATTTGTCCAGTCCTCTGATTTCTTATTTCACCAAAATTAGAGGCTTGATATAAGCCTTCATAACCTGGTATATCTTTCCAGACCTCTGCCATTTTTTTGTCCTTTATCCTCGACCTGCATTATAATAGGATAAAGGGTGATGCAGGCAGGTCGCTCTGCACCACCTAACCACATTATAACATGATAATTATGAAAAATATATGGAACTAAAAGACTTACAAGGTAACGACATTAACCAGTTTATCAATAACTATCGTACAGCACTCAAAGACCAATACGATGCAAGTATGAAAACTCTCAACCAACAGAGAGAGAATGACTATGCAAAGATTATGGCTGGTGCCAACAGAACTGGTATGATGTACTCTAATTTCCCACAGCAGACTAAGATTAAGTATGATACACAATCATTCTATCCTACTGCTATTAAGACTTACCAGACCTACCAATCATCTCTCGATAAGCTTCGTGAAAATGCTCTGAACCTTTATAATCAGAACAAGAAAATCAATGAAGCTATTGCAGACTTAAACGACTTGTAGTATTATAAAGATAGCTTCGTTAAAAAACAAAGCAACTCAATTTGAAAAAATACTGGCGATGCCCACCCCTGCCAGTATTTTTTGTTGTTATTGACCAATTAGTCTTTGATTCTTATTACCATCTCTATGGCGAATATATGGAGGATTATTTGATGCTACACCACCATCTGCTGTACGCATTTCCTTTAGTATGCCAGTAGATGTTCTAATGTGGCATTTACCACCAGTTCTATTATGAGAACGCCATTGACCGTTTCCGTCACGTATCTTACCTGGTCTATAGTCAGCTGGTAAATCGTTGCGGAAGTTTACACCTACCCAGAACTCATCTACATAAGCTGATGGGGTCTTATCACCATCATGTCCAGCAGTGTTATTGCGTAGGTAAATAGTACCTTGAGATTTAGTACCACCAGATGCAGCTAGAGTAAATGTCTCACTACCTAGGTCGATATTACTTGCGATAGTATGTGCAGTTGAGATATTGTCTCCAGACTTTGACCATAATACTCTACCAGCCTTAGTGCGGCGAACAGAGATATTACGAGTTGTGGTTCCTGGGTTACCCCTAATATCATCACGTACGATTGAGTTGATTACAGTATGTACAGTGACAGTGTATGACCTATCTTCATTTGCAGTAACAGTCCAGTCATCTGTAATTCTAATTACCACTCTTGATGATCTGGAGTTGTTGCCAGAGTCTGAATCACGATAGTAATATGATACAGTGTTTGAACCAGATTGAGCTGGAACATCGGTCCAGTTCTGGATTAAACCAGTTGAACCGACTTCCTCTCCTACATAACCACCAGAGATGATCTGCAAATTTTCTTTGTACTGTAATCCACTAATAACTTCATTATCCATGGATTATCTCCTAATCACAGCCCTGCCAACCACTCAATTTATTCTTCATGTTAATCTGTAGGTAACCTTCATCATCGAGAATCCAGTTAACATAGATATAAATGAAGTTAAGTGGTCCAGCCTTTTGACCAGGTGCTAAGCTAGTTGTGTAATTACATTCAATAGTTCTGTTAATCTTGTTAGTCCAGCTCCTGCCATCAAATGCACCCTTTGTGAAGATTTGAGTCTCTTGTGATGTACCGAGCTTGATACCTTTAAGAGTTAACCCATAAGGGAAGCTTGAGCCAGTGTAGCTATTATCACGAGTCCAAGTGATTGTGTCGTAGTAAATACTATAGAATGTGTACTGCATTGAACCAGTGGTTACATCAAAGTGAGTTGAGAAGTTCAACTTACCAGTTACCTTACCAGCACCAACGTGCTTACCAGTATTCCAGTCATTCCAGTTGATTTGGAAATCGCCAGTGATATTGTTAAATGTTGCTGAGAAAGCATCTGTTTGTTGTAATACTGACCATGTTGACCAGATGTCGATACCGAAGTTACCAAGCAAGTTGCTCATTAGACAATCTAGTGGTAATGGACCATAGACTGGCTTCTTTGTAACTGGGTCAATAGACATAACAACAGTCTTGCCATTAGTGTCTTTTGGAAGTTCATCTACATAATCAGGTTGGTGATAACCGAACTCTACACCTTCACCAGTGTCAGTTGGTCTCCACATTCCGAACCAGTATTCATTGTCCTTTGGTGGCATATCAAGATAGACTGGACAACCATATCTATTAGCACCACGAACAAATTGGATACCATTCTGTTTAGCACCTTCTGAGTTAATATTAAAATTCTGCCATTGGTCTGCAGCTGATTTACAGCCTTCACCACATTCAGCATATTTACGGTAGACTAACTCATAGCAGTGACCATCAAGAGCTGGGTCAATCTCAGTGTCTCTAAGGTCAGCTAAGTTGATAATGCTACCTAGCTGTGCACCAGTAACCTTGTCTGTATGCTTTTCAGCCTTATAGTTTAGATAGGCACCAGAGTAGTTTGTGGATAGAACAGTGTCAGTTTCGTTGACATCAGGAACATGAACTCTTTGTGAGAGTCCATTGATGTTGACCCACCAATATGAATTGTCGTATGGATCAACATTTATGTCGAGTTCACCGCTAAAACATGGTTTTTCACATCTACCACAGTTACTTTTATTACATAAATTACAATTATTGTTCATATCTTAATTATGCCATAAAAACAAGTTATGATATAATAAAAACGGTATAGGTAGAACGGTCACGACTACCTATTCCGTCCTTATTTTTTATCGTGACCGAGGACGGAATAAGAATGAATCTATGCAGCGTAGAAGACTGTAATAATTTTGCTATCACCATGGGAATGTGCAATACACATTATCTAAGGATGAATAAATATGGAAAAACAGATCCAAACCTTCGTATTAGAGATGGTATTAGTAAAAAACATCCTAGAGAATATAGAATATGGAAGCTCATGAATAGACGATGTAATAATCCTAACGACAACGCATATAAAAACTATGGTGGTCGTGGAATCAAAGTATGTGATAGATGGTCTGGACCATGTGGATTTCATAATTTTTATAAAGATATGGGAGACCGACCACAAGATATGACATTAGATAGAATAGATGTTAACCTTGGATATTCTCCAGAGAACTGTAGATGGGCTAATTGGTATACACAAGCTGCTAATCGTAGGGTGATTAGGAAGTATTCAAAGCAAGTAGGGGTAACGTATTGTCCAAAGAGAAAACAATGGAAAGCTACTATACGTGTTCATAGAGTAGTGCATTCAAAAATGGCTTCAACCGAAGAAGAAGCCATCATGTATAGAAAAGCCCTTGAACAAAAGTTTATTCAGCTTTAACGAAGCATCCGTCAACGCTCTTGCCAGTCCTATTGGCAATAACATTATAAGCATCTAGTTTGCATTGTTCTAGGTCTACACCAACTAGGTCTGCTAAGATAATAAGTACAACTTGGATGTCGCCGAAAGCATCTTTGGCTTCATCGGATGTGTATTTGCCACGACAGATTTCGTGTGCTAACTCACCCACTTCTTCCATAAGTTTAATTGTTTGTTTATCAGGGTTAGTGATGCCTTTTTGAGCACCCCATAATTTTATCTTCTCGTTAATATCTAATTCTCTTGTCTCCATATCTACCTCCTATTTAATCTTCTTTTTGAATGCTGCTACTTGTGCAGCAGTTAATTTATCTGCTGGCATATAGATGCAGTTATTATCTATTGTATCACTAAAGCCTTGGTCTATTGCCCATTTGAAAGTCTTATAATCATAGTTGGTGATACAAAATCTATTCTGCATTTCGTTAAATGATACTCGGTTGAACTCTGATTTATCGATTGACTTGCACCTAATACAAAGCCTGATCAAGAACCTAGCATGAGTTAGAGTTTCTGGGGTTACAGCAGTGATAGGCTCGCTGAACATTTGGTCGACTACCATATTGCGTAGCTCATCCCATTCCATATTATCAGCGAGCTTATCAACCTTGTATGATAATAGAGTTACCACCTCAATTACTTCATCAATACTTGCTACATCTTTAGCTATCTCTCTCATTCTTCACTTCCTTTTAATAGTTCTGGATTCTCGTGAATATTTCCAATGATTTTAACTGGTCCAATATTATATCCCTCTGGTTCACAAGCCATATAGAATTCTTGTATATCTTCAACTAAACGAACTTCATAATGAGACATTACAATATCACCTTCGTAAATTTCTTTTCCGATTACATCCTCAATGCCTGTATATTGCTCAATGTGAATAGTTGGGTTGTCGAACCATTCAAACATATCTTCTCGTTCTTGAATGTCATATACATAATAATTGAAATTATCAACCCAAGCCCTGAATTTTAGTTTTCGCATTCTTTACCTCCGCAAGTAATCTTATATGGTGTTTTTAAGTGAGGCTCTTTTGAATAATATGGCTGTAATGGGGTTGGTGGATAGGTTGGAACAACCCTTTCTGGATATTTATTCTGAAGCTTTACAAGTTCTTTTAATAACTCTATTTCCGTTTCTAAATGTTCCACTCTTTTTTGTAATTCCTCTAATTTACTCATCTTCACCTCGCTTTCTTGTAATTTTTACATCTATTTCAAA